CATGATCCTTCTGAAATCATTCTAATATTCTGATTCGCTGCTCAAACATTTATTATTATTTGTATTATTATTATTATCATTATTATTATTATTTTAAATTGATCAAAAGTGATGATAAAGACATTTATAATGTTACAACAGATTTCTGTTTCAGATAAATGCTGTTCTTGAACTTTCTATTCATCAAAGAAACCTGAAACCATTCTACTCAACATAATAATAATAATAATAAATGTTTTTTGAGCAGCAAATCATAATATTAGAATGATTTCTGAAGGATCATGTGACACTGAAAACGAGCAATGATGCTAAAAATCAGCTTTGAAATCACAGGAATAAATTACATTTTATTACAAAAATATTTCACAATATTACTGTTTTTGCTGTATTTTTGGATCAAATAAATGCAGGCTTGGTGAGCAGAGGAGTATTCTTTAAAAAACATTAAAAATCTTACTGTTCAAAAACTTTGACTGGTGTATATCAACATGAGAGAACACATATAGACTACGCTATTCATTTTAAGAATATTATATGTTAGATACAAAAATAATATTCTTTTAAATTAACATAAAATAATACATTTAACACACGCATTAATTCCTTACTTTTTGTACAATTTGCTTGACAAATGTGTTTCATCATATTATAAATAAGAGGGAAAAAATTCAATGACAGCATAAAAATACTCTGCGTATTGATACACATGAATAGGCTTAAAATAACACCATAATGTTCATATTTAAGAGTTTAAAGCTGTTGTCACCATATTCATTATAAAAAGAGTCACTCTGTATTCAAAACGACAAATGAATGCCATTCTACAGGCTATACTTGTAAAGATGCCATCCTGTAGCATGTAAAGTCTAATCAGAGGCTGTTGTTGTACACAGCAGACCTGTTCTTTGAGGTCACAGTGAAACTGCTAGCATTCCTCTGCTTTCAGAAGAATAGATGTGATGGAGGGCCATAGCATAGGAGAGAATTTTTAAGAATTAGCACAAAACCATACTTGTTAGACTTGTAAAAATGTTTCGCCAATATATAAGTATAAATGAGTCTGAGTCATATGCAATTTATCCTTTACTGATTCACAGTCTGAAATCTGTTCTATGAAGCTAAGTGCAAAACAAGCTTATAAATCAAACAGAATGATCTTTTTTGAAAATCTAAAATAGCAGAAAGTTTTGTGTGAGGGATAGGTTTAGGAGTAGGGTTGGGTAAGGGGATAGAAAATACAGTTTGTACAGTATAAAAACCATTGGATCTATCGAATGTCCCCATGAAACAAGAAAACCCAACAGGTGTGTGTGTGTGTGTGTGTGTGCGTGTGTGTGCGCGTGTGTGTCTGTACACTTGCATGTGACTGGAACTCACAGTGATGTCCATGTTTTGGCTAAACTTGCTTGTGCGGTAGAGCTAGTTCCGGTGGTAGCATCAGATCACATTTCTTTGTTTATTTGTTTTTTGAGATACGCAGAGAGAGAGAGAGACATGTTTGCAGGCCAAGTATTTATCTACAATGTAGTGTATAATGTGTGCCACTTCAATCTTCTATGAGATCAAGCCAAATAATACAAATAATTCAATGAAGCATATCTCCTCTAGCCCATCTGAGTGTCCTAACAGACCCAGGTTGACATGCTAATAGAATAGAAACTGGAATAACAGTCTACATTTTTTTATTTCTTAAAATATGTATAGTTGCTGTGATTGTGCTGCTAAGCAACCATATAATATCAGAAAACAGCAAACTGGCAAACATGAATCACAAATGACACAAATGCTGTTTCTATGAAATCATCATCAGACCAGTAGAGAAATGGGAGGGAGATGAATGGAATGCTGTCTGTACTGAACTCAACAATAGCTCCTCTGCATTCTTCTTCTGTGAGAGGCTCTGTGACATTTTTAGCCTCTGTGACAGATCTGTAACAAAACAGCTCTTTTATGTGTAAACTACAGGTCCGGATTGTTACTGGCATAACCTATGTACTTGCAAATGGTCATTTTCACATTTTTGTGGATACAAATTGCTGCAAATTTGTTATGAAAGCTTGTAGACTGAGGATGTGCAAAGAGAAATGATATTCATTTGTAAGTGTATTATAAAGTTTTCAGTGTTTTATTGTATTATGACTGATTTTATTTGAGAAAAATGCATTTACTGTAAATACAAATACAAAAGTATTACAAAAAAACGGCATGAAATTAATAATGTAACACAATCAATTCATAATCATAATAATGACAAAAATATAAGTGAGGGTTCATGATTGTAAGCAGTAATAATGTATGTATTCACTGACTTCATGTGAATTGATATAGTGACCTGCACAACGATCAACGTCATTCACATTCACTTGTTTCGCTGCAGAGGAGAAACAACTCACTGACTAACCCATAACCCACTAACTCTCTGTGGGCCAAATTGGTCTGTTATTCCATATCTTGAAGAAAGCTGCTATCAGGGGGCAGTGATGTGACTGTGAATGTGCCTTGGGTATAATTTGTCCTTTTTTTTTTCTTTTTTTTTTGTGTGCACTTTACCACTTGTGTGCCCTGATATGATCAGACAACAGCAAAGTAAACATACACTTGTAAAGATAATTTTAACAATTTTCCCAGGTATTGACTAATTTGATTGGATGGAATAGTTGTTGATGTTTTTGGCTCCCTGTGTGAATGACCTGGACTCATTCAACCTCTTTAGTTTACCACAGAACCAGACAACTGCACATGTTCACAGTGTATTACCATTCTGTATAATTTTGCTGAGTCATCAGGATGTTTTACGAATATAACTCCATATAAGGAAATGGTTGAAATGGTCTATCGGGTTTTTAGCATTTTATGAAAATAAAATGTCACTTATGTTATGCTCAGCAAGCAAAGTTTCGTTGTGAAATTTTAATGTGACATCAAATGTTAGAATGTTGTATAACCAATACATGGCAAATATTAAAATTAAAATTCAATTTTGTCTGCAAAACCTCACTCACACTATAGGCTACACTAAAAACTAGACTGACTTGTTATAAATGCTAAATGTTTATTTAGACATCACAACATTTTGATATTTGCTAAAGATTACATTTAAATGATTACTGTTTTTGAATATTAACTTTAACTGGGATTTCGATGAGGGGAAAGGTAATCTAATCATCTAAAGTAATCTAAATGTAGATTCAACACAATATTCAAAGGTAAAATTTTTAGATAGATAGATAGATAGATAGATAGAGATCTACATATCTTTTCCACTTGTAAATCGCTTGGGTGTCTGCTAAATGTGTGATTGTAAGTGTAAAGTGCACAATCGGGCTGTTTTGAACCACCATTATAATTTGATAGAATATATTTTCTGCTGCATTTATTGCTGAATAAACAACTTAATCAACCTCCATTATTTCTACCTGAAATTACCTAATAATATAGTCAGGTTAATTCTATTGAATAGCCTACATTTGTTTTCTACATTATGTTTTATGTTTGTACTTTTTTAGTGTGTATATATGGAACTATCACCATAGGATAAATATGGTATCAACAGTCCCAATCACCTTACAACAATCACATTATGTCACAAATTGATCAAAAACAAGAAAATGACCGAACTTCACGTAGCCTACAGTACCTTCAGCTGTATGTGTAGCGATTTCTTTTGCAGCCACTTGGTGGTGATCAAGACAATGAAACTGCAAATCCATATAGCTGGTGTGACGAACGGAGGGTTGCACCAGCATGTCTAAAAGCCAGTACAGCTTTACATAATAATAAATATGAAAACAAAGAGAGATGGTACTGCTGATTATTATTTAGGATGTATGAGGTGCTATAACATAGGAACCTAATAATCAGCAAAAATAAATTTCAACTTGCATTTTTTTTTAAAAGTACCACAATAAATCTAAGAGTTCCAACCACTCTTCAATTTTTATAAATAAAATATAATCTAAAAGACTAGCAATAATAAAGAAAAAGCAATCAAATATTTTGTCAATCAAGTGTGTGTTAGCTAAAAGCCAAAGATTGTATATAAGTTGGGATAAACTCTGCACCTACACTGTAAAAAAAAATCTGTAAAATTTATGGTAAAGAACCGGCAGCTGTGGTTGCCGGAATTTTACCGTAAAAAATATGGTAGCAACGTTTTAGGTTTTACCTTAAATTTACAGTTAAATATCGTAATTTCATTCACTGATATAATGTTAATATACCAACCTAATTGAAGTACTGAAATCTGTTTTGTACCTTTGTAATACACTGATAACCACCAAATGCAGGTGGTGATGAGAAAGTCACATGATGAACCAAAGCTCATCACAATTTTTCACTTCCAAAAACGGTATACTACCGTAAAATTAATGTCCAATACATGTAATGACCAATACAGTTTTTCACCGTATATAGTAGGGGAATTTACCGTTAACCATTTAACAGGTTTTTACTGTAGCATTTTTACAGTCTTTTACCGTTAAATTCACTGTAATTTTTTACAGTGTAGGCTATTGGTAATAGAATAAAGACCACATAAGAGCCATTATTCGGTTTTATTTCTGATTATATTTTGTTCCCATGTACAATAAAACCAGTATTAGTTTCTATGTGAAGCTGAATTCACATTTCACGTCTGAGTGAACTGTGGAGCTGTGACATCTGCTCAAAGAGAGCATCCTTTACACTTTACTGAGTCTCCTAAATGCAGCTGCCTTCTCAAAAGAATGAGGTACAGCGTAATATCTCACAGACAGTGTCTTCATATAAGAGTGAACATGAATATAATTCCATGTACAGTTTGACGAGAGTTCTGTAAGGAAGCTATCTAAAGAACAACAATTGAACTCGAAATATTTAACTCTGGAATCAGCCTTGAATATGAAGTTTTCCATAATAATTTATTTAAACAAACATAGCTTGTAATAATCTAATAACTAAGACTCAGATATAATGTTTAATACATGTTTTATAAAAATATGTTTATTCAGTTATTAAACTGGTTCATGAAGTGTAAATGGACTACAGAACATGAGAGATGTTTGTTTAAATCATGGCATTCCTGTTGCAAGAACTCCTCTGTAAAGGATGACCTAGCAGGAGCTCCTTCTCTTGAACAAGACTGTCTAGCAGCTCCTGTTGCCGATGGTTATGGTAAACCTTCAGGAAGGCTAATACTGTTAGACCCAACCAGCATAACCAGGCCGACCACAAGCCAAACTGTGAGGGGAAAAAATGTTACATATATTAATACCAAGAGACCCATAAAATACATACTGGAAAATCTCTGCTTGTGAATGTAGGTTTTATGGATGAATGTTTACCTGTGCAATGGTAAACTGGTCATAAAAGGAGTTGCTGTCAACACCAAGCTCTAAATCTGTGTCTTGCAGATCCTCACAACTGCCAAATGAAATTAACCAAATGTAAAGCAACCGTAAACTTTTTACCTTGAAATATCAGTTTCAAAATCATTGTGATGGTACGCAGACTTCTAATAAGGTGAATTGCTAGTTTTTTCCCACACAATCCCCCCAAACCTCTGTTCTGGGGGAGTATATCGCTGCATTTCAAATGGGATAAATCCAAGGGCACTTCGTAGCGAGTGCAATCATGACCACAATACTGAAGGTCAAAAGAGTACAACTGATGGACACTTTGCTAGGGTGCTCCACAGTCTCAAAATTACAAAAAAACTACAGTTGCCTTAAAACCCAAGTAATTTGAACGTGACTATATTTTGGAAATTTACAATGGCGGACAAAAAATATGAGAGCCAATTAGAATTTTGTAACTAATTACTTTTATTAACGTTTGTATAACTATAACTATAAGTAATAATAAAAAAAAAAGTATAAAAAGCAATATCACGCTTGCTCTTTGTAGTAGGCTACTAAATATCAGCATGACTCTTATTCAGCCCTAGGTATGAGATACAGTGCAGCACTCTTTTGTGATATTGCTTGACTCTAACTGATTTAAAATGGTTTAAAACAGTTTACCTGCTGGGCATGACCCCATTTTCAGTGACAGAATCACACCATGCACTGAAGCCAACACTGGAGATGGTACCGGCAACAAACACCACAAATACCACCAACAGGCACAAGAGCAGATTCAAGAAGGCATGGAAAAGAGAGCTGCCAAAACATGTATGATAACATCATTTACTGACTGAAACGTTGGGATGTTTTTATGCAATGTGGTGTAAGTGAATGAGGGGATGCCTACTCGTCGTGGCCTTTGCAGAGGGAAAAAAAGGTCCGCCACGCCTGTACATCGGACAGAATGAGAGACACAATGCCCACGAAAGTGATGAAGCGGCAGGATGACTCTGGTCCCCATTCTTCAACTATAAAGCGTTGTTTCCCCATCGTCATGTTCTCATTCTGCCACATTCCCTCAGTAAACAGCAGGCATTTCCCCTGGAAGTCATCGCTGTTTTCAGAGAGCGGCACGACGGCGATGAAACCGAAAAGAAATGCTCAAAAATAAAGGATGCACTGGCCAAAGAGACAATTATCGACGGCCATCGTTCCCGTTCCGGCGACTGCATTCGGCTACTGCGCATGACGGGGAATGTTAAACTTTGTCTGCATCATGTTATCGGACGACGACTAAAATGTCACCAGTGCATGCACAGCATCTTTGAACATTTTGACTGCAATGATAAACTGCTGTTTACGCAACGATGCAGCAGTTTAATCATAGAGATGTTATTGATAGAAATTTAGATATGAAAGAGTAAATACAACAAAATGCAAAAAAAAATAATAAAAATCCCTTTCTGGAAGGAAGAACTATAAAATATTGCATGTTCAGTTAAGTATACTGGACGTCTTATTGAACATGTTTTTTACATGAATGTTTTAAAAATCTGACATTTAATTTTCACATTTCATAGACATTCAGGTTTTTAAAAAAATTGTCAAAGAGATTATAAGCATCATTCTCGCGTTCTGCGATTTCATTTGATCTCAGAACAAATCGGCCCAGTGACTTCTACATAACCATTGCTGTATATGCCAAAAAACTCAAAACAAAATCGTCCAGTATAGTATGGAGCTAATATTATGACAAAACAATTTGAATTTGAATTGTGTTAAATTTGAATTATTGACAAGTGTTATTTAACAAAACTGAATATTATGTGGGATTTAAAATCGTTTTGAATTTGATTTTGATTTTAAATTTGAATTTTTTTTTTTACTTGAATATTTAACATTTGAAATTTAACA